GGGGGCGGAACTGATCATAGTCGTACTGTCATCATATGGTGCACAAAGCTTACAGCAACAAGAACACAACTATAAAGCTCTACTGAGTGCTTGTCGCCTGTTCTGTTGGGTATCAGTTACAATAGTACAAATTTCATGTGCTCATGGAAGACTTCAATTTAAGAAAATGCCATAAACAGTGATTTGTATGAAATAAAAATGAACAAAATAGTTACATTTCTTAAAAGATATAACTTAAAAGATGTAACGTATATAAAGTTATATATCTTAATTTTCACAAAAATCAAAATTTAAAATTTAAAACTATCCTAACATAAATATTTGGATCAGTGCTCTCAAACTGATGGCAACCGAAGTAATGTTATTCGGCCCGCTAATACATTTCCCGTAAATTAATTAGCATTAGAAAACGTTCAAGATTTTAATGATTTAGAGTCCAATATTAGTTTATTTTCTTTACCATAAACGAACATGAGTAGATCTCCGGAATACCTGGAAATTAATGCAATTAATTTGCACTGTGATGTTAATCTTATACAAAGATTTAAGATACAAATTTGGTTAAATGTATTAGTACTTGTCAGAAGATAAATATTTTCCGTTACGAATGTTTGCAATAAAAATAACCATTTTGTTTGGTAGTACATTTACACATTTGAAAAGTTTTTTTCCCGTAGCTGAAAATCAATACATCGAGAAAAAAAATTATTTTTAGTAATTTTAAAACGAAAATTTAGTATAGTAAATTTAGCAAAGAATTAAATAAATTTAGTAATCTTCCTCCGAAACAACAAACTCTATGAAAATCGAAACGCTATGAGGGGTTGCATAGTAAGAAACAAAGAAGTTTATAATTATGTGCATACAACTATTATTTTTTTTTTGCATGCGTCGTGGAAAAATCTAGTAAATTAAAAGAAACAGAAAAAATTTCATTATTTACTCTCAAGTATTTTTTTATCCTCTTGGAATGTTTTCGGTATTTCTTTTAGTTTAAGTTAGTTACTTAGTGGTAGCTAACTTAAACTAAAGAATATTACAATAATTTAAACAATTAGTATATTAGAGTATATTACAAAAATACTATATATTGTAATATATAGTATTATTGTAATATACTCTAATATACTATATATCGCATATTACAATATATAGTATATTACAATATATAATATATTACAATAATTTAAATATCTATTAGTATTAAAAGTCTAATATTTAGCTTTCAATCCATTTGAATCACAAACTGTGACCAACAAAACTTTCTTGCAGATACCAATTTTTATATTTCAAAAGAAAATAAGTATAAATTTAATGTTTTTCTTTGCGTTTTTTATATGTTTTGACAAAAGACTAGTATAAAAATTTTAAAATTTAGTTAACAGGTTTTATTTTGTTAAAAAAAAAAAAAAAAAAAAAAAACTAATTTCAGATCGTACATTTCAGCCACATGCACTTGAGTTTGAGACCACTGACTTAAAATACACTCATGTCCATAAATTAAGGATAATGCAAAATCAGGCAAAGGAAGAGTTAGAAGCAAAACAAATTTGACTTATTTCTAAAGCTTATTTATTAAACAAACGGTAAAGATCAAAAAAAGATGCTATATGTTTTATATTATTAAAAAAAATAGCGATTTTTTCTCCCTGGAGCAAATTACAAAAAAAAAAAAAAAAAAAAAAAAAAACCTATTTACAAAAAACCAATATTACACTGTTGGTATGAGTGTTAATACATTGTATGTCTCCCAGACGATGCAACACAGTCCGTACAACGCCTAGGCATGCTGAGTATCAAATTATCGATCTGATCTTGGGGGATATTACACCACTCAAAAAACAATGCTCTCCGAAGTTCCGGTAGACATGTAGGAGGAGGTTGACGGGCTGCAACTCGTCGGCCAAGCATGTCCTACACGTGCTCTACTGGATTCAAGTCCGGTGAGAATGTTAGCCAGTCCATACGGGTGATATCCTCCGATTGAAGGCATTCGCTTACGATGTTTGCACGGTGAGGACGGGCGTTCTCATCCATAAACACGAATTGTGCGCCCATGGCGCCCCGAAACAAACGTACATGTTGTTCCAGAATGACGTCCCGATAGATTTGGCTTGTCATGGTTCCAATTTGAACATGCAGGTCAGTTCTAAAACCCAGAATAATTCCACCCCAAAACGAGGACTCCTGCACCACCGTAACGGTGTCGTTCAATGATGTTTTCTTGGTGGTAATGGGTACCTGGAGCATTCCATATGAAAGTCCGGCGAGAATCAGACTGCAAGCTGAACCTGAACTCGTCGGAAAAGATCCCACAAGCTCACTGTTGCGGTGTCCACAATGCATGCTCTCCAGGCTAACCGCAGGCGACAGTGAGTTGCAGGCAGTAAGTGGAACGCATCTGAAAGGTCTACGAGTATATAGACCAATCTGCCCTAAGCGTCTGTACACGGTCTGCCTTGAAATTGTCGTACCAGTGGCTGAAGAGAGCTGACGAGACAGGTCTGAGGCTGTGCTTCGCCTGTTTCTTTTGACAGTAACTGCCATATACCGGTCCTCATTCGGCGTTGTAACTCTGGGGCGAAGTGTGCTGTAACGTCTACTCACATTACTATCATCTTGAAATCGTTTCCAATGCCTGGAGATGACACTCTGGGCAATTCCAAGTTCGTCTGATACTTCCACAATTGGGTACGCCCACATTCCAGACGGCCGATAATTCTACCACGTAAAAATCATCCAAATGCGTCCTTTGTGTCATAACTATTCGGTTATTGCACTAAGATGCTTATAAAGCGCCTGCGAACAATTTTACTTCTTTGCCTGTATTCTTTATATACACTCTCTTACACTCTCGTCATTGTGACGTACCATCGGTGTCATCTGGTTACTTCCTGAAATTTGCATATGATTCTTGAAGATGGGTGTAGTGATTTTACAGGTGATATATTTATTTTAGAGTTCGATTTCCGCGTGACTCCGAATTATCCTTAATTTATGGACATGAGTGTATTTTTGCGACTGGACGTGCATGTATGCGACCAATAGTTGTAAAGCTAAACGTCATATAAAGACTTTTATACGCAATCTGTGTAAAATGATCTTGTTCTTAGGCTACTTATAAAATGAAGGCCATTTAAGGACTTTTATGAGCACTCCGTATGAAATTATCTTGTTTCTACACTACGCAACCTTATTCGTATAAGGACTTTATGCGCACTCTGAAATTGTTTTCCTCCTACTATTGTTTTACTACTACTATTGTTTTACTACTCCAACACTAAGTAAACTTATAAAGTAAATCCCATAAAACTAAAGTGCTTTTTGTATGAAATTATCTTGTTCCTATATTTCTTAAACTTATCCGTATAAAGAATTTTATGCACACTCTGAAATTATATTTTTCTCTTACTATATAAACTAATAAAACGAAGGATATAAAAAGACTTTTAAGGGCAGTCTGTATGAAATTATTTTGTTCCTTTATCAGGTTCAGTGTTCCTCCTTACTTGCTTGGGGAACATTCAATGACCTGACTCGGAACAGGGAGCTTACTAAAGCTATGTTCAATAAATGTGGGAAGTAGACAAGATACACAGGATGGGGATACGAAACCCTTTATTTTCTCTCTTTCAAATTATTCCGGACTTCGGATACAGAGACCAACCACTTGTGATCTGAACGTTAGAATATAAAAATATTAACTAAATTCTAACTAAACTAACTTTGGATTAATAACAAGGGTTCTTGAAAGATTGCCGTATATTAACAGAAAGGCCGTATGTAGTACAGAGAACTGTTAATACTACGATACGTTTTAAAAATTATCAAGAGGATTAAACCTCGGCGGAGGCAACCAGCAACCGAGTAAAACTGCTAAGGCCAGCGGCCTGCTTCTATAACTCCTCCTCTTCTCTTGCTTGGCAAAAAGCCACATTAAGTACTTGGCGTCGCAAGACAAATTGCATAAATAAGTTAAAGCTTTTAATTCTGGCCGGAAGTAGAAAATAAGAAGCGATAATAAAGATTTAAAATAAAATAAACGTTAGTAAAACTTAAGATCCTTACACCTTCTCTTCGCCATATTATCCATATTAGGATTGTCCATATTAGGATTTTTATGCGCAATTCTGAAATTACCCTTCTCCTACACTATGTAAACTTATGAAAACCATAAAAGGAATTTTAAGGGGACTCTGCATGAAATTATCTTGTTCCTACATTACGTAAACGTATCCGTATAAAGACTTTTATATGCACAGTCTGAAATTATCTTTTTCCTACACTTTGTAAACTTATAAAATTGACTTTTAAGGGCACTCAGTATGAATTTATCTTGTTCCTTCACTACGCAAACTTATCCATGTAAGGACTTTCATACGCATTCTGAAATTACCCTTCTCCTACACTATGTAAACTTATGAAAACCATAAAAGGATTTTTAAGGGGACTCTGCATGAAATTATCTTGTTCCTACATTACGTAAACGTATCCGTATAAAGACTTTTATGCACAGTCTGAAATTGTCTTTTTCCTACACTTTGTAAACTTATAAAATGGACTTTTAAGTGCACTCTGTATGAATTTATCTTTTTCCTTCACTACGCAAACTTATCCATGTAAGGACTTTCATACGCATTCTGAAATTATCTTTTTCCTACACTACGTAAACTAATGGAAGCCATAAATAACTTTCAAGGGCATTCTGTATGAAATTATTTTTTGCCTACGCAACGTAAGCTTATGAAATGAAAGACTTATGAGGACTTTTCTGGGCACTTTGTATGAAATTGTCTTGCTCTTACACTACGTAAACATATACAATGAAGGCCATATAAGATCTTCTATAGGCATTCTGCAAAATATTTTCCTCTTCCTATAAGATGAAAGCAAGTGTACCTGTAGTTGTTTTAAGCATGCAATACACATCTAAGTCCATAAAATTTTCTACAACAGTCTTAAAACTAATATATTTATGGTTGTATTTTTTATCCTTTCAGATTGCTACGAAAGGTGAAAATCACAGCACGAGACATGCAATGAAGGAAGCTAATGAACTGAAAAACAGTTATAAGAAAATGATACCGTGTAAGTGAAAACAATTTTTCTGCTCTCATTTAAGCAATTATTCAAATCGTATATACACTGATAATTTAAGCCGATGATTCATTGTATTTTCATATAAAAACATCGGCTTGAATATCATCCATAAAAAGTGCAATAGTTTGATTCCTTAAATAAATACGCTTTTAAGTAATAAACATTTATAACATATGCTGATAGATAGTGTCTTCTTCAAAGTACTTTCCTTCTATTTATACACCCATAAGGGGTGTTGGAACCCCAAAATCTTCAAAAAATCGTGATTTCGGATTTTTGCATTTTCAAATTCTCTACACTTTTATCATTCTAAAAATACCATTCTTTAATCCCTATGAAAATTAGAACTGTAAAAAAATCTAGTTTTAATTTGTCATCTACTGCTTTGTCAATGAGGATTTTTATATAAAAACGCGTTTTTCTCCAAACGTGATTTTTTTATACTCGATGTACCTTTTCTCAGGAACTACTGCTCACAGGTATCTAAACTTTTTATGGCTTATTTATTAGGTTCCCTAATATTTACTGAAATGAGCGTTTTGTAATAAATTTTTTTGTTGTGTGTGAGAAGAGTGCTAAATTTTACTATGCCGAACAAAATATTCTGTAATTTACTCTAAAATTCAAAATGTTTCAAAAGCTCATTTCAGTATAATCAGACAGGTATACTTTAATTACAGGAAAAATTTCAAGCTTGTATCTACAGCAGAATTTGAGAAAAGGTACATCGAAAATGGCCAATTTAACATTGTCGGTATAGGGGTTTCTGATAAGAAATGTTCTCTTTCTTAACCGCTTGTGTAACTACTGGAAGTACGTTCGTCTGGTATCAAAAGGCTCAGAGTTCGAATTCTATCAATTCCATTGTTGATGTTTCATGTTTCTTGTTCCCCCCCAAAAAAACAAACATAGACTGTGCAAGTGATGGTGGAACCAAATTGAACTATGACAATAATTCGTCATTGCCGTTATCTGTCAAGTGGTTCTCCTGCCAGTTCGCCCTTTAATTGAAGAAGTCCCACCCACTTCTACCTGTACTTGTAGCCAATCGAAAGGCCCAGAATTCAAATTCCGGTGAGAATTGTCTCGTATCTTGCTCCGATATTAATATAAAATTAACACTATTAATTTAGATAATATTCCCGTTTATGGAAGTAGATCTGGTACTCATTTTCGAAAGTAATGTTTAGCACTTATCACACATTAGATTGGATATTAGTTACAACGGAAAACTTGATCTTTTCATCATAGCTTTTAATTTTGCAAACAACCTGAATCTCAGAGGACTACGAGACAACATGGTCTCATTGAATAATCACCCTTTTTGCCAGAAAGTGTTCCAAAAAGGTCGCGTTACACTGTGAATGTGTGCGTGTGTATAATGCAAAATTCCGAGAAATCTTTTTCATACTCAGTTTTTCACTTAAAATCAGCAGAAATTTCTATCGATTGATATCCACTTTTTTATCTTAAATCTCAGTTTCAATAACTTTTCATCATGGTGCATTTCGTATTTTGCCAAAATTCATGCCTGCCATTGCTATTCTTTTGTTCTTTATTCTTAATCCACGTGACATGTCTTCTCTCCCACTTTTAAATCGCTCTGATTGCTCGTTTCTGGGTTCGGACGTCATACCTTCTGGCCCATCTTTAAATTTCTCATATTAAGCATACACCTTTTGTTTCTATGTTAGGACGTCACATATTCTGCCCTATATTTGAATCTCTTATACCAAGCAACCAGTCTGTATGTTTGTTTGTAGGTTCAAGCGTCACATCTTGTAGCCCATCTTTAAATCTCTTATACCAAGCAAACATTCTGTATGTTTGTTTCTGGGTTCAAGCTTCACATCTTCTGGCCCATCTTTAAATCTCTTATACCATGAAACCAATCTTCATGTCCATTTATAGGTTCAAGCGTCACATCTTGTAGCACATCTTTAAATCTCTTATACCAAGCAAACATTCTGTATGTTTTTCTGCGTTCAAGATTCAACATTTTCTGGCCCATCTTTAAATCTCTTATCTGAAAGCAATTGCATCCATTCAAGGTTTCAAGCGTCACATCTTGTAGCCCATCTTTAAATCTCTTATACCAAGCAAACATTCTGTATGTTTGTTTCTGCGTTCAAGATTCACATTTTCTGGCCCATCTTTAAATCTCTTGTACCATGAAAGCAATCTGCATGTCCATTTATAGGTTCAAGCGTCACATCTTGTAGCCCATCTTTAAATCTCTTATACCAAGCAAACATTCTGTATGTTTGTTTCTGGGTTCAAGCTTCACATCTTCTGGCCCATCTTTAAATCTCTTATACCATGAAACCAATCTGCATGTCCATTTATAGGTTCAAGCGTCACATCTTGCAGCCTATCTTTAAATCTCTTATACCAAGCAAAATTCTGTATGTTGTTCTGGGTTCAAGCTTCACATCTTCTGGCCCATCTTTAAATCTCTTATACCATGAACCAATCTGCATGTCCATTTATAGGTTCAAGCGTCACATCTTGTAGTCCATCTTTAAATCTCTTATAACAAGCAAACTTTATGTATGTTTGTTTGTAGGTTCAAGCGTCAGATCTTGTAGCACATCTTTAAATATCTTATAACAAGCAAACTTTATGTATGTTTGTTTGTAGGTTCAAGCGTCGCATTTTCTGGACAGTCTTTAAATCTCTTATACCAAGCAGCCATTCTGTATATTTGTTTGTAGGTTCAAGCGTCACATCCTCTGGCCAGTCTTTAAGGGCGCGGTGGACTTTAAAATAGCTAAAAATCCACCATAATATTGAATCTGTTTATTTCTTACTCTCATAATATTCCATATAGGTAACTACATCGTATGCAAAAAACCGAGTTCAAATATTCTAATTTTTAAAGAAGTTACAAGCACTTAAGATGTGCAAAAAACGTAAACTTTGCCTCTAAATTTTGGAGAAAAATGTAAAAAAGCATATTTCAACAGTTATTTACTGATGTAATAATTTATATATTTCCCCCAAAAAAGTGCTTATTTCTAAAAAAAGGCTATAAATGTTAAGTATTGACAATTATTAATGAAATTAACTTTTGTTATGTGAATACTATACGCCTAGAACAAGAGGAACCAATCTCATTTTCCCTACTCGTTCCAAAAAAGCGTGATCAACATCGCTTGAACCAAAGCAAAAAGAGACGTTTACCTGCTTGATAAAACCAGAAATAGTAAAAAATATTGTAAAGTATTAAAAGATAATGTAAATGTAACAAATGAAGGTAAAACATATCATGCGAGTGAATTTTAAAAGTTTCATTGGATATAATGCATAAATTGTTTTAACCTCTAACCTCGAATCACGCACCAATTTGCGATATGTTTATTTTTCTCATATTAATATGAGATTAAAAATAGTTAAATGATACGAAAATGTTATCTAGTGTCTACATAAAGTTAATTTGCTGCATGTATTGAAGGTAAATTTGAAGAAAAACTTTAAACTGTGTTTTCTCAAAACAAAATTTTTCGCAGTTCCTATGTCTTGAAAATGCTCCATGCATCTCATTTTTAGTTTAAAATGAATTATATTTGGAAGAAACCTATCTTGTTTTATGTTACGACAGATCTGTGTATGCATTTTTGGATATGAGGTTATTAAGAAGTTTAAACTTGTGATAATGTTTAACAAAAGGTGATATTTTTTCGAAAACTGGGTTTAAGTTCACAAAAATCCTTTTTAAAAATTTCTGATCCATCATATTCAATAACGGATACACAAAAACGTTTGCCAAGTCTTTATAACTAACTAAAAGGAAAAATTAGGAAAAAATATTGAAAATTAGTGCGCAAGGAGCATTTTAAATCTTTAATTATTTGTTTTAAAAATTTTTAATTTAAAATAAGTTAAAATTTTGAACATATATTTTATAAACTGATGTTATAATACGTATATATATAAAATTTCTTGTTGAAAACACAAAAACTTAAAAAACTAATTTTTAAAGTCCACCGTCCCTTAAATCTCTTATACCAAGCACCCACTTTGTATATTTATTTGTAGGTTCAGGCGTCGCATCTTCTGGACAGTCTTTAAATCTCTTATACAAAGCAGCCATTCTGTATATTTGTTTGTAGGTTCAAGCGTCACTTCTGGGCCATCTTTAAATCTCTTATTCAAAGCAACCACTCTGTATGTTTGTTTGTAGGTTCTGGTGTCGCATCTTCTCGCGCATCTTTAAATCCCTTACACCAAGCAACCCCCTCTACGTTTGTTTATAGGTTCAAGCGTCAAATCTTCAGTCCCACGTTTAAATCTCTTATACCAAGCTCAACAATTTCACGGCATCTTCATACTAACAATACAATGATTCAGCAGCACATTTCTCCTATTTTCGCATAGAAATTGATACTTGTATCTGGCTTTAATTTTTGATGACTCCCCCATACAAAATGCACATGCAAATATCTATCGCTACATAAAATATAATTAAATAAAAATAATGCTGAAAATATAATTGAACGATTAATTAAAAGAAATAATTAAATAAGTGCTAAATATATGATTACGTATGATTAAAGATATAAGTAATTTAATGATGAAGTGAGCAACTGTATAAGGTATTTCTCTCACTTCCCTAGCGTGCCTTCGTGGTTTAACGGTAGCACGCTGGGCCGGTACTCCAGAGACCCGTGGTTCGATTCCCGGCGAAGGCGGTTGCTAATTTTTCATCTCTCCGGCCTCGAATTAAACTAATGTCTCTACAAGTGGCGTCCGAATTAAAAGGGTTGTGGATGATGATTCTCCGCACCCAGGATTTGGCGACTAGGTTCCCTAAAACTATAGTCGCCCTTTAAAAAAGGGAGTATATAAGGTATTTCTCCCACTTCCCTAGCGTATCTTCGTGGTATAACGGTAGCACGCTGGGCCGGTATTCCAGAGGTCCGTGGTTCGATTCCCGGAGGAGGCGTTTGCTAGTTTTCATCTTTTCTGCCTCTAAAAAAATCCTAACG